ATACCTCTGCCTTACCTGGAATGTCCAGAAGCACATATATTCTTCATATGTCATGGACACATTCACGTATTCACATATGTCTACCCTCTTTCTGTCTACTGCAATATCTAGCACATCTTATTCAAGTTTTTTTGCCCTCTGTGGAGGCTTCCTGATTATAAATCTCATGATGGCCATATTTGATACATTCCATCTTGTTTTATCATTTTTCATTTTATGTAGTATTAATCTTTCCAAATAAATTATAATTCCTTTGACATTTGGAACTGTGGCTTAATATTTTTATATACCATTGCATTTAAAAGAGTGATTTACAAAATGCAAATAGTTAATAAATACACTAATTTTTATAGATAATTTTTTATTTACCTAACTCTACTTTAAAGGTTGATATTACATGGATTTCTTTGAAATTAGTTCACAGAGGTTACAGATTTATCATGGCTCCACTTTTCAGTCTGTAGGTTTAAGCTTTCTCTTACTTTAAGACTCTATCATGAAGAGGGGTGCCTGGCTAACTCAGTCAGAAGAGCATGTGACTCTTGATCTTGGGGCTGTGAGTTTGAACTCCAGATGGCTGGGGTGTAGAAATTACTTAAATTTAAAAAAAAAAAAAAGAATGTATTGTGAAGATACTGGCATTTTTTTCAACGATTCAACCCTAATTCTAATACAAAAAGATGATTTATTGATTAATTTATAAGGAATGCCATGATTTAGTCAATGATGGCCCTTATAGGCAATGAATCATTGAAATACTACACTCTTCACAGTTTTCTTTAAAGTTATTATATCTATTCCAAATACATGAAAAGTAAAACATCAAAAAGGGGTTGTTCAGCATCAGTGAATGCCATTTTATTTTCAAATTCCAGTCCTAAATGGAAATTGTAATTAGAAATGCTTTTTATTTTTTTCTAAATGAAATAAAGGCCTCATATTACCATCCACTTTCATTTTTTTGTGTGTAATTTGAAACACCAAAAATGGAGAGATTAACTAGGTAGGTATCATATCAGCCCTGTCCACTTTTCTCTGAACACAACTTTTGACACTACAAAACTTTAATTTTCTTCTGACATTTGGGTCCAAAATGAGACTGTTGGATGTGGCCACAGGTCAAGAATGATTACGAGAAACTCTGGATGTTAAATCACTAGAGCCATGATTAAGACATGACCTTAAATTTTAGTTATCCAGGTTTTTCCTAATATGCACAAGTTTTAATGTATCTGTAGAGGTCAATTAGAGCACATCTAGCCTTTGGGAAATGTATTAAACTAAAGAATTATGTATTTTCTTTATATACTTTAATACCTGAAGTATAGCAATGTATTTAGTCACCAAAATGTCCGTGGAAAGTATGGTCTTGATTAATGGGTGAATTGATCGTTTTTACTGAATGAAAAATTAACCAAGTATTTTAATATAAATTAACTAATTAATTTCAGGCTTATTTTCATTTTATTACAATGAATAGGTTATCTATTATACCCATCAGCAAATCAGTGTAAAATTACCCAGAATTATATTTAACATTTAAAGTGCTTACATCCTTTGTCTTTTCTATAAACTTTTCCTTAGAAAAACAAATTTACTACAAAGACCAAAAATGGAAAGTGTTTAAATAATAATCAGCATACATTTCTCAAACTGTCTGACATCCTTAAATTCTTTTTAAAACAATGAAGTCATTGCACAATTTGATATTGTCAATAAAGTCAGTGTTCTGTACCTGCTGTACAATAAGCTCTTGGTAAGTGTTTATCCATTGTTCTGCTATGTATTCATATGTTATCAGTTTAATTAAAGGAGAAACAGAAGTGAGGTTGATGAGCCTTCACTTTTAGAAATTTACATTTAAATAAGGTAGAGAAGTTAATATAATTAGCTGTTATGTAAGTTTCATTTGTTTAATGAAAATGCCTACTGATCAAAGATATTTATTTGTTGTTACCGTAGAGGAGGCTATCAAAGAACATCTTATAAAGTTATTGATATTTTACTCTTGCTTTGAAGATAGGATATAGCCAGCCATGTGGACAAGTGAGACAGGGAGAGAAAAGCGGAGGAAATAGTTTGAGGGAATCTACATTGACAGGAAAGTAAAGGAGTCCATGGAAAAAGGGCAGGGATGATTCATTGTGGTTGTCTGTAGCTTCACAGGGTTGGGAGAGAGTAATCGGAAATAAACTTGGAAAGGCAAGTTTTCTTTCGATTAAAATTTGTGTAATAACTAATTGGGCTAAGCAAATCCACTTTGAGGACTTTTGAAACAGGCAGGTGAAATTAAACAGCTTTAAAAACTTATCCATGCAGCAGCCTGAGAAAAACTTCGTGGAAAGAGAGATTGAAGAGATAAGAGTCACAAAAAGAAATATAGAATCCGATATATCACTATCTCAGATTAAAATAAACATCTCACATTAAAATTACTGAGTACATGTATTGGGGGAGAAGTGTTGGAAATAAATAAGAACGCAGGCAAATGATATTTCAGAGGCTCTATCTCCAAGACTTGAAAATTGATTGATGATGCCCAAAAATGGAATATGAACAGTGAGCAACTTTTGACAGAAGGAAAATAGATTCGGTTTGCACATAGAAAGTTTGAAATTAAATTATGCTATCTGACTGAATTCTAGCTGAGGGTTGGAAATCACAGGATTCGGTTTTGGAAAAGTGCATACTGAAGATCCCAAGAGAAAAGGAAAAAAAGAAAGAAAAGGGAGGAAAGAAGGAAAACGTGGAACAGAATGGAAATTCCCTTTTTATTTTCAACCATATAATGTCTTTTTTGCCTCCTTCCCTTCTATCTGTTAGAAGATCTTTAAACAAAAACACAGTGCCACTCGTGGGGCTCACAGCTCAGTGGCAGACAAACATAACCTCCTTCCGAAGAACTATATCATTAGCCCACACTGCCCAAGATGTTCATAAATTAAGCTCTCTTCAACCTAAACTCTTTAACCTAAACTCAGATCTTTTCTATCTCCCCAGATCTTTCTCAGTTTATAAAACCCCCAAACACATGCTCAGAGTTGTGGATCCCCAAAACCTCAGCCATCTCTTCCCATTTAACCTTATTGTAGGAACAGTCTCAATTTCCTTAACTTCTGCAATTTGCTTCTGTTGCCCCATTACACTTAAACTAAATGCACTTGAAGGATTAGTTATGCTTCAAAATGAAAAGTTCTCATCTGTGAATGCTCACTGGAACTGGCCTTGTTTGTAGCTTGTAGATACTCTCTAGTCCCCTGGTTCTCCTCTTTTTCTTCCTATTCTTTCTAACTTCTGTGCTTTTCTTAACCTATTTCTCTCTGAAATCTCAGATTTACTTGACCACTTGTTGAGCCCCTGTCATATGCCAAGTGCTCTTTGAGAATTAAGGAATTATGAATAAAAATAAGACCCAGAACTGAGAGAAGAAAACCATATAAGCCAGCCTGTTTCCCAAAGAGGTATCCTGCAAAACAAGGAATGTGTTATTCAATGATGGGGAGTATAAAGAAACGGATTTTAAAGAGCTTGAACATGTCCAACAAGTCTTCCTTGATCAATAGTTTCCTCTTCTCTCATGTTTTTGATTTTACCTTTCATTTCTTTAAATGTTTTTGATATAGTTGAGTCTAATTCCATTTTTTGAAACTTCATGGATCTGTTTATCCTTTTGAATGTTTTAGTTGACTCTTGCTTTCAGTGCCTTATTTCACTTTTTTTTTTTTTTTTGGACAGAATATGAGTTTCCATTGAAGAGAGCTTAATTTATGAACATCTTGGGCAGTGTGGGCTAATGATATAGTTCCTCGGAAGGGGGTTATGTTTGTCTGCCACTGAGCTGGGAGCCCCACGTGTGGCACTGCTTCTTTGTTTAGTATTTCAGCTTGGAGTTTCCCAAATGTGTCTATAATTAAATTCCCAAACCTGGGATATGGCAGAGTGTGGTTAATCTGTTTAAACAGAAATAGTTCCCCCTCTTGCACAGGCTAGGAGAGTCCACTCTCCTTATCACTGCCCTTTTGCCAGTGGGCTGATTTATTCTATACCCTCCTTATACTAAGGGTGAATTTTATTCTGCTCCCGTGTTACCTAGTGTGCTATAGCACCCCCTTTTACAGACAAGTTTTGATCCTATCTTTATGAAATCTCTGCACCTTTTGCTTACTACAATCCACAAATTTCCAGTATCACTTTATACTCTGATTTTTAGATTGTTCTTCTTCTTCTTTTTTTTTTTTTTAATCCCTTGATGCTCCATTACTTTTCTGAAAGGCCAGCTATAGGCATCTGGAAGTAAGGGATGGTGGGAAGGGTTTTGGAGTGTGGTCACACTATCTTGCCTACCATATTATTAGAAATATAAGTCTTTCAATTTGTATTAAAATATAATTCTAAGTATCCTCTAAAATTTTAGAATATTCAGCTATTTTATTTCAAATCGGACAAGCTTATTGAACATCTTTGCTATTTTATTACCATCGCCCTAGTTCCTTCACTTAATTTATTTATCTTGTGAAGATAGTGTTATTCACATTTCTTATGCAGTGTTTTTCATCTTTTCATGGAAATATTTTAGTAGGTAGTCAAAATGCAGTTTGTATTTTAATTGTTATGATGACAGTGTAGGATTTCGAATGAGGTTCCAAATGTTGGACAAACATTTTGTAGTCATTGCCCAATGTGGTGGCACATATACAACCAAGAATGTAAATATGGAAGTGAGTATAAATTGACTCATTTATGTGACAAACAAATTTCAACATGTTATAGTAAATAAGTCCTGTATTTGATCTGGTTGTGAATTGTATACTAATCAAACAGACATAATGTTGTTAGGTTATAGATTGCATTTTATAAAACTTTCATTTCTTTTTATAGGTAATAAAAATTTACAGGGAAAATAATTGCTGTTTGGGTCATGTCGTTTATAGATCATGTGATAGAATCTTAGAATTCATGTTGAAAGCCATATTTAATTATGATTTAAATATTTTTTTCAGCTCTTCTTCAAGTGACAATTTCACTTAGCAAAGTAGAGCTTAGTGTGGGCGAATCTAAATTCTTCACATGTACAGGTATGTATTTGTACAGATATTTTCAGATGATAACTTGTTTTATGCTTTAATTATTTAATATTATATATTGGCAACATTTAAATGGTGAAAAATAATCCTCTGAAATTAAGACCTTATATTATCATTGGGTTTATGAGGTTGGGAAGTGTTAATAACCATATTTTGTATGTTAAAAAATATGAATTTTATTTCTGTTAATTTCAACTTATTACTTTTGGCTGCCAAACTGGCTCATTTATTTGAAAATAACATCAAATATAATGTATCCACAATAACTTAAATAAATTCAAATAGTATTCCTGTATAAACAGTAATTTTAGGATGAATGTAAATATTATAACTGAATTATCTTTGTAAATATGCAATGAATAAATTAGATATGGCACACTGCACTGTAGTTACACCTGAATGAAAACTTTGGGACAAAGCAAATCAAATCCATCCTTATGAAGAGTGAATTTTTTAAAAAGTAGATATTTAATCAGCAAAACTTTTGCAAGAATGTTGTGACTATTAATCAAAAGTATCATATATCATAATACCTGTGGGAAATTTTATGGACCTCATTTACTTTAATCATGCACATGCACAATTTTTTTCAGAAGACATTTAAATACTTAAGCAACAAATTCTAATTCAGAGTACTGTGGAGCTCACAAATGCACACATTCGACTTCTCTTTATACTCATCAAATTCATTTTTATGCACACAAGCCTTCATACCTAAAGTTTTAAATAATATTCATCTAGAGCCAAAATTGCTTTTTAGCGTATTTTAAAATTGCTTGTATTCCTGAATATGCCTAAGTAATTCAAAACTGAATTAAAATAGGCATTTCTGACATAAAATGCATCATATAAGTCTTGAGAATTGCATGGTTTATTTAAATTATTATTAAAATGAATAAAATAGAAATAATCATAACATTTATAAATAACATATACTATGTTATGCATATTACATGATATGTAGGTATAACGTTACATTTTATAAAAAACTAATAGAAGCCACGGTTCTTCCTAAAAGTCTAAATTGATAGGTCTGTGAATGCTTATTTTTGCATATTGACAAATAGGCAGAGAACAAGTGAAATATTGGTTCAACATCATTTATTATGTCAGCAGAGCTTTGTCATAAGAATGTAGATCATTGTTTTAAATCTCATCCATATTTTGTATACACAAATACACAAATGCACACACACAGCTCAATTGTGTCATATATTCACAGAATAATGAAGTATTTTGAAATTGGAATTGTATTATTTTCTTACATTTGCATATCACAGTGATTTAAATTATATAATGTTATTACCTCTGTAGGTATTTCATAAGGTCAATTAAGACATAATTTAAAAGAATGAATTCATATCATTTAGTGTGCTAAGTTTTGCTCATAAAATAAGGCAAAATAATGAAACATTTCTTTTCCTTATATAAAGATGTATAATCAAGAGCCATACTGTTGTCATGTAAGTGGCCTTATATATATGAAACTGAGTAGTAAAACAAGAATCAAAAAAAACGATGTGGGAAACCCCTGCAGATCAGAATGCTTTCATCTGTTTTTCCTACTACAATGCTGACCAAGTTGCTATGACTCTGAAATGTCTTGATATGCTAAAACATAGACATCTAAACTCAGTAAAATAAATGTCTTAAATTTACACTGTCAGGGGGTCAGACCCTTAGAGGGCTAAATAAGAGTATGTCATAAATAGCAAATGAATTTGTATACTACATTTTTAAGAAAATAAAAACTTTAATGTTATTTATCAGTATCTCCAGTAGTCTAATCTTAATAAAATAACATGGAGAGTTTCACTAGAGATTATTATTTACTAGAGATGTCATGAAAAGAGAATCATGACTGACTGCTCTATGAAAATGCGGTATAAATTCTCCATGATAATGAAATTTTATATCATATTATTAAGTAAGAAAATGGCCAAAATATTTCACAGAGTGTTCAATATAATTTGCTGTATAAAATGAAATTTTGTATTGTTCAAATTCAAAGTGCTGCTCATTGAAATTATTCATTTGAATTTCTCTGTGGAGAGGGAAATCAAAGCAAATACCTCCCCCAAATGAGTCATCCCATAACCACTATGGTTTTATGGTTCTGTCCAGAAAGAACTGAGGATAACATAACTAAGATCCATTTAAGATATGACTAAACCGTCTTTTACACTTTTTACTCATGCATGTCTAATTTGATATGGAAAGCACAATAATTTGTTTCTAAAGCCATTTCTTTGGGAAAAAATAAGATGGAACAATGTTTTTCAAAGTGGTCTTGCAGATGTTAACTTTATGCATTTTACCCTGATACTTTTGAGTTAATACTGTATACTGCTTCCACAAATTATCTCTCAAGGAATTAGGTGAAATACATCCTTCAGGTGAGTAAAAGCAAACATTGGAAGCTTCAGCTTTTACGAAGAGTATATTAACCTGGATTCTGAATTGGAAAACTTAAATAAATATTTACCCTGTAATGATTTGGTTATAATTGCCTAGCAGGGTAAGTATTGTTTCAATGCATTCTAATTATCATATGATTAAATAGTTAACAGTTTTAGATTAAAATGATGAAGCTGTTCATTTCAGTTGAGAAAAGAGATTAGGGCTCCATTTTGAAAAACAGTTATTAGCCTTATCTGTACAAGTTTAACAACTTGGGAAATTAATAATAAATTCAGTATTATCAAAAACCAAGGTTTATTTTGTATAGGATTTACATTGTTATGAACTTTGCTTTATTGGGGAAAAAAGTGCTATCTCCTGACCCTGGCAAAGAGAATTGGGAACAGGTGAAATCATGTTAGTAATTGTGTTTCTGTTCAGATATATCAAACATTTTTAATTTATGTCTGACTCAGTGGCCAAGCCAGTTTTATAAGTTAACTGTAGTAATAATTAATAAATTGCTATAGTAAATTTTCAACTATCAGAACTTAAATACCATGCTGTCAGTTTCCTGTAGAACTTTTGGGTTTTGCTTATACAAACAGGACTGAATTCTCAACATTGGATAAATAAGGATGAACATGTGTGCTAACATTTGTGTTTACTTTGAATTTTGTAAGATTTTCAGACTTCCAGCCTTCTCCTATTTACATTTTTTCCCCAAATTGTTAAAAGTTGTCACATAATAGTAAATGTCAATGCCAAAACAAACACTTGCAACAGATTTTCAAACATATCTTGTCCGTGGATCTTTGCAGCAATTGGTGAACCTGAGAGTATAGATTGGTATAATCCTCAAGGAGAGAAGATAATTTCAACACAGAGGGTAGCAGTGCAAAAGGAAGGTGTCAGATCACGATTAACCATCTACAACGCAAATATAGAGGATGCAGGGATTTATCGTTGTCAAGCAACAGATGCCAAAGGACAGACACAAGAAGCTACAGTTGTTTTGGAAATTTACCGTAAGTCATGCATTTATTAATTGATTAAAATGTGGCTGTGAGCAAAAAAATGCATTTAATAAAAACTGACACTCATGAAAAACTATGTGCTAGACAATATCCTGAGACCATTACAAATATCAGCTTATTTCTATTTTACCATAGTGTATCTCTAAAATAGAATAGATAATAAGAAATAGTAGATTGTAAACACATAGATGGAGCCATTTCCGTTGGTTAAATAACAGAGATGAAAATGATTTAATATTCTCCAACCATTGAAAATCTTTTGGGTGAGTAGAGAACATTATTTAGTATTATGAAATTTATAAGAAGTACTTTTTCACACTAAAATAAAAGGTCAGGACTAGAACAAATGAAATTGCATATATGATAGCAGTGACCAATCTAGAATGAGAATGGAGGAAGGGTCAGTGAACAGGAGTAAATACAGAAAAACTGAAAACTCATCTAGTGGAGAATAATATCTGGCTGGATTTTTCACCATCAGAACTTTTATTAATAAAATTTTCCACGCTTACACTTCATCTTAGGACTTGAGATTGACTGCCTTCTACTTTCTTTCCCCCTTCTTACATTTAAGAATCATTAATCTTTCTTTCTTTCTTTCTTTCTTTCTTTCTTTCTTTCTTTCTTTCAAGAGTTATTTACTTATTTTAGAGGAGGGGAAAGGGCAGACAGAGAAGGAGAGACAGTCTTAAGCAGACTCTTAGCTGAGCAGGAAACCTGGCACAGGGTTAGACCTCATGACCCTGAGATCATGATCTGAGCCCAAACCAAGAGTCACATGCTTAACCAACTGCACCACCCGGGTGCCCCAAGAATCATGAAACTGTTTAAGAACACATTAAAGCCTGTTGACCCCCTAGGCTTGAAACCAGGCTCTATCACTTCCTTTTGTGGCTTTAGCAAATGTCTACCCTCTCTGTCTTCAGTTTTGTCGTCTATAAAATAGATCTAATAGTATTGACTACCTCATACATAAAGCTGTTTCAAGCACTACATTAATTTTTAATATTATATAAAGTTTTAGAACAATGCCTTACAATTAATATGTGATAGTATTTCTACTACATTAATGAAAAATATCTGAAAAATTATAAAATTTTTAAAAATACTAACTCAAGGTACCTCTTTCTTAAAGTTTTGTTATTATTACTATTACTACTATTATTGTAGAAACAAGATATGAAAAAAAAAAAAGGCAAAGCATTCCCACAGCATGACTTCATCCTTGATCTCCAATGCAATTTGCTGGCACATTACTGACGTTTTTCCTGATTTCGACTTTGCCCCTACTCCTGTTAGTTTCAAAACTCCTAAAGAAAAAGATGGTATAGCTATTTATATGATCCCCACTGTACCTATTTCATAAATAGAAAAAAATAAATTGAAATGATCATTTCACAGACATAGTATTTGTAAAGATTTTTCATTACTTTGAGTGATGAAAAGGAAGGTGCCTGATATTTTGTTTGTAAACTAAAGAAATGACTTTTTTTTCCTAGCAAGAACAATGAATTACTTTTGTGAAAATTTCTCAACAAGCATAAAGACCCATATTCTTTCATTCATTTGACACACTTATTGGGTGTCTACTACATGACAGGCAATATTCTAAGTCCTAGATGCTCAGTAAAAAGAAAATGTCACTGGCACTTGGTGCTTATTATTTTAGTAAACAGAAAAACACAATGAATGAACTTAGACAAATACATGGATGCTAGATAGACATGCTATAGAATTCTATAGTGAAGAAAATTAGTGTGGTAAAGAGAGGGAGAGTTGAATTGGGAAGAGAGAAGGTTATTTTATCTGTGAAGGTCTAGCGGAAATCTGAAGGAATTCAAAGGAGCACAAGGCCCGAGGATGGGAACAAACCTGGAGTATTCAAGGGATTGCAAAGAAGACAGTTTGTCTGGATCACAGGGACTAGGAAAAGAGAGAAGAAATCAGGATAAGAATTGTGGGGCTGACTCCAGTTCACACAGGACCTTGTACGGCATTATGTGGACTACGAATTTTCCTCTCAGGGAGATGAGAAGTTCTTGAGTAGAGGAATTCTTTTTTTTTTTTTTTTTTAAGATTTTATTTATTTATTTGACAGACAGAGATCACAAGTAGGCAGAGAGGCAGGCAGAGAGGGAGAGACAGGTGGGGAGGAGGAAACAGGCTCCCCGCTGAGCAGAGAGCCTGATGTGGGAGGACCCTGGGATCATGACTTGAGCCAAAGGCAGAGGCTTTAACTCACTGAGCCACCCAGGCACCCCGAGTAGAGGAATTCTTACCCGGCCTAAGGTTTTAAAAGATCTAGCGTTAGCTGATGATTTCATCATCGCATTAATCAGATTTTGGAATATGTTACTGGGAGAAGAGAGAAATAATACTTTTGTGGTTTGTTTTACTTTCTTGAAACAGAAAAACTCACTTTCAAAGAAGTGGTATCTCCTCAAGAATTCAAACAAGGAGAGGATGCCGAAGTGGTTTGCCGCGTTAGCAGCTCACCTGCCCCTGCTGTCAGCTGGTTGTATCATAATGAGGAAGTCACCGCTATTTCCGACAGTTAGTATTTTGGTAACTCCCTAAATTATATGTTCTAATAATAGTGCAATTTTTAAAAAGACTCATTCTACCTGACTGCGTGTAGAAATTTTATTTTTTGGATTCCAAGCATCTAACAACTTAAACTCTGAAGTTGGGAGTTGGCAGATAATGGACCTCGGGCTCAATTCAGCCCCTCTGCTGTCTTTGTATGGTATTGTGAGGTCACAGCCAAACCTGACCATTACATAGTAGCCAGGGCCGCTTCGGGGACAAGGTTGAGCAGCTGTGACACAGATGGAGTGGCCAAAAAAAAAAAAACCTACAATATTTATCATTTGGAGATTTACAGAAAAGGTTTGTTGATCCCATCTTTTTAAGAAAAAAATAGTATAAACTGTATAAGGATAATAAGTAAATGAAAGACTCAATCCTGATGCATTCATATTTGACACATTACAGTTCAAACATCATCCTCTGGACTCATCTATGTAATGTTAAAATAATATCTGTGTGAACCCTCTTTATTATTCTGACGGTGTTCTTTCAAAGACACCTACATATTCTAAATATTATGGTAAGATGCATATGGATAATAGATGGAAAAATGCATTCATTCAAATTGTCTTCATAATTTTGATTCAGACTGAGCTAAAATTCCAGAATAATATGACATCTGAAATTGAAAGCATAATTTGCTTACATTATGCTACTTTACCATTGTGCATTGGGAGCAGTTTCAATTTAGAATATTTTTCAATGCACCTGCATTTGCAGAGAGTTATGAAATAATTGAATCTTTTCAAATACTTTCCATCCTGGATGATTCCGTTGTGTGTTTCTAAGAGCTAAAACTTATAGCATAAAGGAGAGAAAGCAGATAGTATCTATTTTTGAATATGTACAGAGGACATGTCATAATCACGTTTAATAGTCATTTTTTAAATTTTGAGACAATTTCTCTCATCATAGCATTTTCAGCTCTTGTCACTTATTGACTACCTCTCTCTTTTTTTCTATTATAATAAATTAGTAAGAAATCATGCTTTATTTCCTCTTATTTTATTTCAGGATAACTACTTTATATTTCATTAGCTCATCACATGAGTACTTTGTGCAATGTATTTTCAGCTATTTTTTCCCTCAATAGTAAAGAAAAGGCAGTTCTTTTATAGTAGTTAGATGACAATGTCTAAACATTTTCAGATTGCCTCATCTTAGGCTTCAAGTGTACATCTGGTTTATTGTAAACCTTAATTACATGAAGGTTTTGAAATGAATTATAGTTTTTAAAAGACACAGAGAACAAAAGCCTCAAAGCAGAGATTGATAGTTAAGTGTGACGGTAATGGAGGAGCACTACTCTGTGCTATTGCTCACAGTTTTTCCCAGTATCCAGGGACAAGATGATTTGAAGCTGGAATGCCATTACGGCTCTACTCTTTCCTTGGCCTGGCAGCTTTGAATTTTCTAACAGCTCTGTATCTAATTCAGATTCTCTCTCTGTAAACAGTGGATTATTATTTCCAATTTCAACAATAGTTGTGAGTTTCAAATAAGACTTGCACATAATAAATATTTGTTAAATGAATGAATTAAATATTTGCGTACTTATCAGTTTTGCCACACAATGACATTTATCTTTCTCCTTCCTTCTCATTGAGTTTTTAAATCTTGAGAATCAGTGTTACCAGAATGATATGCACTCAGGTTATAACTAGAATAAAAAAATTGAATGTAGAGGAAAGTGACCAGTCTAGAGTAAACCTGGCTCAGAGTTGCATGGCAAGCAAAGAAAAAAAAAAAGGCACATTTTTTTTTTCTCCTTTTAACTTTAGAATATAAAGTATTTATGTGGACTGTGAGGAAGGACAAACTTTTCTAACCTTTTAATATTGGAGAAACACTCCACATGGTTCATTGTTGAACAATTTATGCATTCATAATGGATTTACAAGAAATAATATTCTTTACCTGATTATACTTTCAATGGCCCCTTTATTAGAGCTAATGGAAGAAGATTAAATTTATAACTATGAAAGGAACATGTAAGGGGATTTGAAATAATGTAGTGTGTCCAGGTAACTTTCTGAAGCTTTAACGTGGTATGTGAGTAAGGTTTGCAGGCTCCAGATGACATAATGAAGGTTTGAAAATGTCCATCTTATTAGCCATGCTTTTGGTAGCAGCTGTATGGCAGATATTTATAATTGAAATCCCAATAGGATATTTGAAGTGGAGGTTTTCCATGTTGTTTGTTGAAAGAAATACATCCGCTAAAGAGAATTCAAGCATTTAGGGAGTAAAGGTGGCATTTTGTTACAAAAGTTGAATATCCCAGTGGCGGGATATGCTATTCCAGATGCTCATTCGACCTCAGCCAGTTTGAAAGTTGTCCCTAAAATATTCTAAATGCTTTGATCATTGACCAATGAGGTACCCTGTTTCCATCAAAAACTATGGGCATAATAATATTGTTCAATATTCTTTTTATGTAACCTACTTCCAGTATAAGAATTCATTCAATTTTGAACTACGTGTTGAAAACCTAGTACGTGCCCTCTAACGTGCTGGATGGTGGCTAGTCCTAGTTAACTAGATAAACAAGTTCACTGCCTTCAAAATACTAATGATCTAGTAGGAAAGATTAATAGAGAAATGAATGAAAACAAGGTATACTGAGGTCTATTAGAAGGAAAGTGCAATAATAGAGAATGATAAAGAAAGAACATCTCAACTTGGGGGGTTTTGTAATTTTATTTTATTTTATTTTTTTCAGTGTTCCAAGATTCATTGTTTATGCACCACACACAGTGCTCCATGCAATACGTGCCCTCCTTAATACCCACCACCAGGCTCACCCAACTCCCCAATCCCCTCCCCTCCAAAACCCTCAGTTTGTTTCTCAGACTCCACAGTCTCTCATGATTCATCCCCCCTCCAATTTCCCCCAACTGACTTCTCCTTTCCTCTCCTAATGTCAACTCAACTTGTTAGGGCAAAAGAAGGTGTCCAAGATGCCTGCTGAAAGAGAGAAGTAACCCTTAATTATGAAAAAGAGGTTAGCCAGGCAAAGGGTGGTGGGAACTTTTCAGGAAGGGGAAACACCATCTGCAGCAGCCCAGAGGTGAAAGACATCATGGATGGTGCTTTTCAGAAACTAGAATTAGTTCATTATAATGAGAATTTATGAATAAGTGCAACTAGAATACTTATACTAATAGATAAATATAAACCAGGATTGATCATAAAGACTAATAAGAGAGGAAACTAGAAAGGAAGGTTGAGTCAAATCATTATGGCCTTGGCATCTCTGTAAAGGAATCTGGCATTTATCCAAAGAGAACATCACTGAAGGATTTTAATCAAGGCAGTGACATGACCTGATACGAATTTGAGAAGACTGTTAGTACTTCATTGAGGAGAATGGATTGGATGGCAGTCAAGACAAAACTCCAGGCACTGTTAACAGTTCAGACCCTAATGAAATAATTGCTGAAGGAGAAGGAGATTTAGACCAAGTAATGATAAAGGGGGAAGTGACAGGACATGGGGTTTGATTGAATATGCAGATGGAGAGAGATGGAGAAATCAAGGATGGCTCAAGGAATTTGACTTGGGCAAATAGTTCAATATAAAGACGTGAAGACAGACCTGGAGAGACCATATGAGAAATTTCAGGTGGAGATAGTAAATGAAACTTTAAATTTGCTGAAATTAAAATACTTACAATCCTTCCCATATAGACCAGCTATATCTGGTCTACCAGTAAGCACTTTCATAGTCATATAATGGTCTGATCTGAAGAAAAATTGTGTCTCAAAATATAGATGGTGATTGAAGCCGTAAGAATAGATGAGACCAAACTTCAGTGGCTGGGGAATGAGAAGAGAGCTAGAAAAAAATCTGCTTGAAGGAGCATAAAGCAGATCGCTTGTTGAGTATTATCTTATCTCACTTATTTTTCTGACTGCAATAATGAAAATTTGGTTTTTAATAAAGTTCTGTATAATCAAGAAAAATGAATAATCTCTAATACTCAGATAGTTCTAATGTCCATTGTTATGTGTGGTTGATGCAGTGATCTCTTCAAGTGTTTTCTGCCATTTGATAGCTTACTAACATTATTCCGTGGACTTTACATACATACCTAGAATTTGACATGAGATTTTCATGTAGTTTGTTTTCTGTTTTGAAACATTGATATGTATTTCAATTTAGCAGGTAACTACTGTTTTCCTAATATTCTAATAGTTTTCTCTCAGCCAGTAGAAGTAATACATTAAAATGGCCATTTGAAACTAAAATTTTACCATTAGAAGAAACACTGATTTATTCCCATCAAATTATGTATTATATACATTCAAATGATTTTCCTTGTAATATCAAGTATTGCCTTCCTGATTAAAATAATTCTTCCCCTTACTATTTTTTAACTAAATACACTATAACCAATAAAGAACATTAGAGTTAAATGATGATACATATTTTAGCAATTTAAAAATATAATATTACAGTTATCAAGGAATGATTATATGCATCCCAATCTAAATTTGAACTTCTTAAGTTGATAATTGCTTCCCACCCTAATTTCCAGCCACATGCTTGAATAGATCTTTTCATTGACCTTGAAACATTCTAAATTTTTTTAATTTTATTTTTGAAACATTCTAAATTTTTATGAGTTCTGAGTTACTCCAGGACTTCTTGTGAGTTTAAATTTAAAATTTCTTGCAGATTCTTTTTCTTCAAGCTTCCTTGGAGAAAAGGAAAATTTACCAGGGGAAAGCATCTACATAAATATTTGTGTCTCTCTTCTTAGGGTCAACTTAAAGAAGAAATAAACATTATGGGAAAGTTTGTGGAGTAATCCCCCCTTGTCTACGGGGGATACATTTTAAGACCCCCAGTGGATACTTAAAACCAAAAATAGTTCTAAATCCTATACTGTTTTTTCATTAAAAAAAAAAAAACTATGATAAAGTTTAATTTATACCTTAGGCATTTAATTTATAAATTAAGAGATTAAGAGCAATTGCTAATAATGAAATAGAACAATTGTAACAATATGCTATACGAAAGTTGTGTGAATGTGACCACTGTCTCTCAAAATAGCTTATTGTACTTTACTCACCTTTTTTTCTTTTATGACATGATGATACAATGCCTATGCAATGAGATGCAAGAGGTGATGTAGGGTTAGGCCTATTTTAATCTCTGATAAAATGTCAGAAGGAGGATCATCTGCTTCCAGACCATGGCTGACTGCAGACAAATGAAACTGTAGAGGGCAAAACCATGGATGGGGTGTTGGGGGGGTTTACTGTACTTCCTGAGCTGATAAAATCATGTCTGCAGCTTTATAATCAATATTTTCCATCTCTGGGATCCTCTGAATCTACTTATTTCTACTCTTTGTTTATTTTCTCTCTTGCTTACCTGTAGGGAGCATAGTCCTCCCATAGTCTGATCACTTCCCTATTTGTATTTGTAGCCCAAAGTAGAATTGCTATGGCATTAAGGAATTGCATTAAGGAATCGCTATGACAGGTGAACCCCAAACCTGAATTGAACCCCAAACTGCCTGATATCATAGCAGTTTATTTCTCAGTTATACAGAGTCCAGTTGACAGCAAGGGTGGGGGTAAGAGTGTACCCCACACATCCATTCAGCACTCCAGGCTGAGGGAGGCTCTAGCTTTTACTCATGTGGTTTCCATGTTTGCCCTAACCCATCAAGCCAGCAGATAGGGAAAGAGCAGTAAACCCTGGAATAGGTCCAAAAAGTAACATTTAATGGTATAACAGTAAATATCCCAGAGATAAGCACCTTAAACTAATGGGTCCAAGGGGTCAAGCATGTATCTCTTATTTACCAAAGTATCTCAAATACTATAAACACCAACTAGATGATGTCCAATGATGTGTTAATTAATGAAATTGAAGATATTGCTTTTGCAACATGTTTTAAAATAAGACTAGAAGTCAGACCATTCTTTACTAGAACAGAAGGGAAAAGGTCTTAACACTGCAACAAAATTGCGATGATTAAAAACTTGGGCCAGACACTGTGGAAACACTGTCAGACTGAGATGCTGGCTAGGCTAGTCCGATTATCTGACGCAATCAACTAATGCATGCCCTCTAACAGCTTATTTTTAATGTGTATTCATGTGCATATACTCACACCTAAAATGAAATCTTGAAATAAAATTAAGTCTAATCTGTTCATTCCTGAAGTGGATTATCTGCATTTAGAGAAAAAATTCAAATAAGTTAGAGATATGGCCACTTTATATGTCCTCTATGTGACTTGAATATTATTGTATCATTTAGCTGCCTCCTCGGGGTATGCAAAATTATTAGTTTAATTATTGTGTAAGGAAGGCTGTTCAATCAATTTTCTAACCCTTTTCCGTACTCAAGTTGCTACAAAATGTCTTCATGTCTGCAATATCTAATCTCTCAACATTGTTCTTTTGAGTATCATTTCTGCATTCAAAGTACCAAAGGGAAAATAATAGCCTGACCATTTTATGTGGAAATAAAGTCTCAAATGTGTTTTAGAAAAAAAGGTGTAACAAGACAGTGTGGACTGGAAAAATTGAAGCCATGAAATTACATTTTACTTTCAAATTCGAATTTGTTTGTTGATGAAAAGTTTGATAGTGTCAGACAAGTGCCATATTTTAACTCTTGGCAATTTAGAGCACACTGGACTCTGCTTTCAATTACTGGTATCATTTCCTCCCCTTTGCTTACTTTCCAGATCGCTTTGCTATGCTAGCCAACAATAATCTGCAGATTCTCAACATCAATAAAAGTGATGAAGGTATATACAGATGTGAAGGAAGAGTGGAGGCTAGGGGAGAAATTGACTTCCGTGATATCGTCGTCATTGTTAATGGTAAGCAGCGAATAATTTGTACCTATTTTATTATGGCATGTTAGCAATATATTTATAGAAAGGGCAGCCAGTGAATACGGCGCTCCTAATATACCTCTTCTCTACCTGGAGGAAATCTCCTCACCTCAGTGATAGCATCTATTACATTGTGTGTAGCCTCAATGGCAGGATCCGTGACTTACGCAACACCATCATCTTTTTTACAAAGAGTCTTGTAAGAGAATCATTGCCTTTTGCTGGCTTTGTAGCTGTTGAAAGAATGCCAAGTGAAACATAGTTAAGTATCATACTAGATTTTACTTTTAAATTGCATGAATCCCATGTTGCTTAAATGAATCTATTTAATAATTTTGTAGGTTTTCTTAAATTTAAAGTTAATAATTGTTTCCACAAGGAGATTAATAACTAAGTTTATGGCATCATGATGACATCTCTTCTTCCAAACTAGGCTTCTCCTGCTATATTTCCTGCCTGTGTTAACATGACATTCTGTGAGGCCAGAAGATATTTTAAGGTTATCCTAGTTGTCTCTATTTTGGTAATCTAATCTGTAAATGACATGTCACCTCATTTTTTTAACATCTCTTAAATATATTCTACCATGATGCCCTCCTTAAGAGCGAAGCCCTTTCATTTAAAAAAAAAAAAAATTCCCCCTTGAATTGCTACAGATTGTCTCCTCTACTCTCAGGCTCATGATTTCTACTTTTATTTATTTATTTTTTTAAGATTTTATTTGTTCATTTGACAGAGAGATCACAAGTTCACAGAGAGGCAGGCAGAGAGAGAAGGGGAAGCAGTCTCCCTGCTGAGCAGAGAGCCAGATGCGGATTTCTATCCCAGGACCCTGAGATCATGACCTGAGCCAAAGGCAGAGGCTTCACCCACTGAGCCACCCAGATGCCCCATAATTTCTACTTCTTCTCCATCTGACCATTCAACACTTAAAATTATCAGTGCTTCCCATTACCTTCAAGACAAAGTCAAAACTGCTTTTTTTGGCATAAGAAACCTTTTATGATCACCAGCCCCTCTTCCTTAACATTCAGCCATGAGCAGCCTATGTTTCAGACATATGGAAATACTGGTAGTAACACGACACAAATGTACTTTTAGTTTTTTCTTCTGCTTTAAAATAACAAGTTAGAGGGCACCTGGGTGGCTCAGTGCATTAAAACCTCTGCTTTCGGCTCAGGTCATGATCCCAGGGTCCTGGGATTGAGCCCCACATTGGGTTCTCTGCTCATGGGGAACCTGCTTCCTCCTCTCTCTCTGTCTGCCTGCCTCTCTGACTACTTGTGATCTCTGTCTATCAAATAAAAAAAAAAAATCTTAAAAAAATAAAAGAAAATAACAAGTTAGGGGTGCCTATGTGGCTCAGTCGGTTAAGTGTCCAACTTTTGATTTTAGCTTGGGTTATGATATCAGGGTTGTGAGATCGAGCCCTTATCAGGCTCAATGCTTAGTGTTGAACCTGCTTAAGATTCTCTCTGTCCCTCTCCCACTGCCCCTATACCTCTAAAAAATAAAGTAAAATAAAATAACAAATTATTGATAACTATAATGACAGGATTCTATAAGCAGAATGTCATTTGTTCTTTTTAGAATAGGCAAAATATAAAACGGAGGAGTTAGCCACATGTTTCCTGTAAGTTAGGGGAAGGATGGAGAAATAAATTTGTGTCTTCTTCTGATTCCTATCTTCATCCTGCCGTGAGCTATTTCTCCAGTTTCTTGAAGACTGGAGAACACTAGGAATCTCATATAGATCTGAAAGAGTTCTTTGGCTGAGTAATATTCCACTGTGTACATGTACCACATCTTCTTTATCCACTGATTTGTTGATGGACATCGGGGCTCTTTCCATAGTTTGGCTATTGTGGACATTGCTGCTATAAACATTGGGGTGCAGGTGCCCCTTTGGATCACAATGTTTGTATCCTTTGGGTAAATACCTAGTAGTTCAGTCATTGGGCTATAGGGCAGCTTTATTTTTTAACTTTTTGAGGAACCTCCATACCGTTTTCCAGAGTGTCTGCACCAGCTTGCATTCCCACCAACAGTGTATGAGAGTTCCCCTTTCTCCACATCTTCACCAACATTTGCTGTTTCCTGACTTGTTAACTTTAGCCAGAAATCTTATCATTTGCAACAACATGGATGGAACTGGAGGGTATTATCCTGAATGAAATAAGTAAATCAGAGAAAGACGATTACCCTATGGCTTCACTCATATGTGGGATTTAAGAAACAAAACAGAGGATCATAGGGGAAGAGAGAGAAAAGTAAAACAAGATGAAATTAGACAGGGAGACAAACCATAAGAGACTCTTAGGAAACAAACTGAAGGTTGCTGAAGAGACAGGGTTGGGGGGGGAAGGGGATGAGGTAACTGCATGATGGGCATTAAGGAGGGCATGTGATGTAATGTGCACTGGGTGTTATATGCAATTGATAACTAAATACTACATCTGAAATTAATGATATACTCTATGGTAATTACTTGGATTTTTAAAAAATAGCAAAAAATAAATAAAAACAAAAGTTCATCGTTCTTTCACTAACTGCAGCAAAGGTAGTTTGACCACAAAGTTCATGCTGAAAGAGGAAAAGAATATGAAAACTCTGTTGTCATTTTCTCTCCTTCTCGAAGTTTATAATTAATTGAGATTAGTGGATAATATAATGGAATAGACCAGATGGTATGACATAGAAATTAGGCAATCTGGTAGAAATTACACATGCTAATGGAGGAGACCAAAGGGCCAAGGCTTCAGAGGAGATTTCTTTTTTAGAAGTAAAGAGTCTGGTATTTATTATGAGTACTCTAGTCCAGAGGTTTTGACCTTCAACACAGGGGGCAGATTTCAGTGCATGAAGAATAGGTTTAAAATAGAGGTGTGTATCTATATATGTATCTCCATGTATTTCTATTACCAATAAACATCTCTAAGCTATTTCTTTCTATCATATATAGTAAACAAAGATAACTTACGCTGTTGAGTTTAACTATTAACAACTCTTTACTGTGCCTTATTTCCAAAATAGTTTATGTTGGCATATAAAAGTGTATTTCGTCACAGACAAGTCATTGTCCTGAGTATTCTTTCATGAAAATGGGAATTATTAGTTCTTACATGTCGAGTTTTGGAGGCAATATATAAATTTTTACTGCTATATGTTTTATATATGAATATGCCAGTGTCAAATTATGCACATATTTTTACACTAAAACAGTAACTCAAGTATGATATTTAAAAGGAAGTATTGGGGCACCTGTGTGGCTCCATTGGTTAAGTATCTGCCTTGGGCTCAGGTCATGATCCCAGGATCCTGAGAAAGAGCCCCACATCAGGCTCCTTGCTCCACGGGGAGCCTGCTTCTCTCTCAGCCTGCTGTTCCCCTGCTCAAGCTCTCTCTCTCTTTCTCTTTAAATAAAATATTTTTTAAAAAATAAGTGTTATTTAACAGACACAACATGTTCTCCCCTTATTAACTACTTTGTTATTGTAACTTCTACCTTCATATATTTAATACGTGTTCTAATCTGTTTCCATACTAGTTTATCAGTGAATGTTTATACATGATTATATGTGTTTTGAAGGAGGCTTTATTTGGGTATGAGCATGTTCAGTTAACAAAGTTTGAATCTTCAAGTCCATCATGGTGTGCACTCAAACTGGGATATTCAGTTCTGCATGTCTGTTCCTATTATGTCAGAGTTTACAAGTAGATAACATGGGATTGTGTTCTTTTGTGCCACTCAGATCAATCACATAGGTGGTTTTCTGTTCTGTCTGCATCACACTGAGCCTCCCAAAGGCAAATCATTCTCCTTCCACATCCGAATTTCCTGTAACAGAATCAACTACAGATCCTAATCTGCCCTTTACCCAAACACTGCTTTATCTCCACTTCTAATTAGTCACATTTTCTCTTTATGGTTACCAATTCTCCAACCTTAGAATTCCTGGCACCACTTTTCTTCAAAATAACAGTGTTCACAAAAATCAACCATTGATTTATTCCTCTTCAGGAAGATGCAGTTGGACCCTGTCAAGGGAATGCATTGACTGATGCCACCAGTTCGTCTGTGCTTTGCTCTCACATTCTGCTTTTACCTCAGCCAGAAAAAAATCATTCTCCTCCAGTCTTATTGACTCTTGTGCTGCTTACTGGCAACTGGCTCCTTTTAAATTTTGAACTCTCCTTAAAAGTATCCCCCTATTAGTTTTCTCCTGTAAAACCTCTTGAGGACATTGCAATGAAAAGTTGAAGGGTCCAAAAAATAATAATAAAATAAAAGCAGTAGCTTTATCCATGTTATCTTTTCTTTCTTCAGTTACAAATTTGACTTGTTCTATGACCTTTTCCTCAACTTATGTTGAAAACCCTCTCTCTTAATTGATACTGATTTTTACCCTAACTGATTTGGATTTTATCTTGGACCTTCTTTACTTGTCTCCTTCCTCCTCAAGTACACTGGAATCCTGAAAGAAGGCTCCAGGCAACTATTTATGGACATTTCATTTCTCCCTTATAAAATCTTGGGTCTGGAAGAAGCTCTGCTCTTTCTTTTATTTTTTGCTCTTTGAAAACTTCTCCCTCACGTTTCCTTTCTTCCAGTTCATACACTTTTGTTTCAATAATTAGTTGAAATATATGTTTGGTAGTTTCCTCTGTGGTACCAATAATCCTAAATATTAGGAATTTTTTTTCTTATCTGCCTCTATGACTTTCTTACTATATTTCTCAATTCCTGTGTATAGTTTTTCACAAATACCTATCTCTCCTCACTTAAAGAGGTTATATGTTACTGCTCATTGACCTGTGGATTATGGTGCTTCCAGTGGAAGACTTAGAAACCCACCCAATTGATGACATGACTTCTTTTGGCCAGTGGCTTATAAGCAAACACAGTAGACACTATGACTGAACTCAGGTTGCTAGAAGAATCACATGTTTCTTACTATGTTCTTTCCTTCTGACATAAAACTAAC